CCTGCGGCTGCCATCAGCTGGTGGTGACGCACGGTTCCGGCTTCGTCTCTGCCAGGCCCCTATTTGGAGGTGCTTCCGCCGCGTGGGCCGGGCTGGCGCGTCCTCAGCCTGCTCGGGGGTGTTCCTCCTCCCGGTTATTTTTAGGGCCTGACAGGGGGAGCCCGAAGCTTCCTGGCGGCTGGAGAAGCTCCGAGCGGCAGACTGGGTTACGGAAGGGCTCCACCAACCAACTAACCACCTGGACCTGCTCCCCTTGCACAGAATGGAGAAACTGAGGCTGGGTGGGGGGAGTAGCAGAGCAGGGCAGGAGGGGTCCTGGCCTACTGCCTGTGGCTGAACCTGCCTGACCAGCGAGGGGGACAGAGGCCAGGCCAGGCCAGAGTCTCGCTTCTCTTCGGGCCCCTTGTGGGCGGCTCTGAGCAGACCCAGCTGGGGACTCAGAAGGTCTCACTGGGCAGGCCACGGTGGAGGAGATCGATTGCGGGGGTCAGGGAGCCAGGAAGCAGGGCCACGGACGGGATCTGTCAGGGGCTGCCTGGCTGCCTGACCTGTCAGACACCGTCAGACACTCGGGAGCCTTCACATTTGCCAACAGAGCCTTCGGTCCTGGGAGGAGGCCACAGGAGTGGACAGGAGGCTCAGCAGGGCTCGGGGTGGCACTCTTGGCTGGCAGAGGCTCCGGAGCAAGCCTGGAGCGGGAATTGTCTTTGCTGTGCTCTGAGGACTGGTGAGGCGGGTGAGGAAGCCCAGGGCTCACCTGCATCCTAAACGGGACCCGGAGAACCCAGGAGATGGAGCAGTGGAGCTCAGACAGGCCCAGGCCGCCCTGACAGCGGTGGGGAGGGCCAGTCTGGGAGGAGTAAGGAGGCCGAAGAGCAGAATGCGCCCGGGCAGCAGGAAGCATCTCATTCTGCAGCACAAGGCACCGAGCTTCGGTGTCCAAGGACTTCCTGACAGGAAGTCTGTTTGCGGAATGGGGGCCTGGCATGGAGCTTGGCGGGGAAGGCTCTGGGCCCCCAGGGGCAAGGCCGCTGGGGAAGGGCGTGGAGGACGCGGGGCTTCCCCATCCCTGCCCTGGGTGTGCTGGAGACGTGGGTGGGAGGCCGGAATGGCGAGGAAGCGCTCCCCGGGCACCCCGGAGGGCGGGGGCCCTGAGCACCCAGCGCCTGGGGGCCATCGTTCCTGCCAGCTCCTCCCCGGTGGATGCAGACTCCACTCACCATCTTTAAGCACCCATCCTTCACCCAGAGACCTTCAGCCCATGAGGGCCAGGGGAGGAGGAGCTGAGACCAGAGATCCATAAACAGCTTCACAGTGATGGTGACCACAGCAGCTGCTGCCTTGTGACTTCCTGTCACAACCGTGGGTGTGGACATCGCCATCATCACCACCGCCCCCACCACCAACATCACCACCATCACCACCACCAGCACCACCACCATCACCACCATCACCATCACCACCAACATCACCAACATCACCATCACCATCACCACCAACATCACCAACATCACCATCACCACCATCACCACCAACATCACCATTACCACCACCACCACCACCATTACCACCACCACCACCACCACCAATACCACCACCATCACCACCACCATCACTACCATCACCACCAACATCACCACCATCACCACCACCAGCACCACCACCACCATCACCACCATCACCATCACCACCAACATCACCAACATCACCATCACCACCATCACCATCATCACCATCACCATCACCACCAACATCACCAACATCACCATCACCACCATCACCACCACCATCACCATCACCATCACTACCATCACCACCACCATCACCATCACCACCACCACCATTACCACCACCACCACCACCACCAATACCACCACCATCACCACCACCATCACTACCATCACCACCACCATCACCACCATCACCACCACCACCACCACCACCATTACCACCACCATCACTACCATCACTACCACCATCACCATTACCACCACCACCACCACCTCCAATACTACCACCATCACCACCACCACCATCACCACCATCACCACCACACCACCACCACACCATCACCACCATCAACACCATCACCACCAACATCACCACCATCACCACCATCCCATCTATTAGGTTAAATTACACAAACAGGGTATTAGTAAGACCAAGGAAGAATGAAATTTTACAAACGAGTCCCAGGTAACCTGAGACACATAAGTAGAGACCGTAGGAATGGAACAAATGGCAGCTTAGCGTTCCTGAGATTTGCAAAGTGAGTAAGAAGAGGGCCAAACTTGAAAGGCAGGATTGCCCTGTAGAGAAAAGCTCCAGGCTAGTCAATAAAGGAAAAGTCCAGAGCTAAAGGCCTGGGAAAATAGGGGGTTAAACACCGAGTTGCTGGAATTCGGTAAATAATAGTGAAACTCAGAAAGGGCCAGGAAACCTGGAGGGTGGTTTGACTTTGAGTGTGATAAGTAAGAAATGTTCTTGCAATACCAGTTAAACCCCAAACCAGGAACTGAGCAAAGGGAAGCTCTGGGATGTGAGCTTTGCCTGGATGACTCATTGGCCTTGGTTACTGGAGCTGCAGTCAGCATCTGCAACCACTAACTGATAGCCCTGCTTCTGTAGCTCGCCTGTTTGCCCAGTGTGAAGCTGCACTGGCCACCTGCGAGTGGCTCCGCATGGTTTTCTCCTCGCCCCCATTTTGAGCTCAGGGCTCTTCTTCACTGTCCCAATAGTGGGGAGCAGCCGCCATATGGCTAACAAAGATTCCTAGCCCAATTGACTGAGTGTTGGTGACTCCTTTCGTGGATCGTGGGTTGGAGTCCCACTGGCTCTGGGAAGCTGGCATACTTCCCATCATCACCACCACCACTACCGCCATTTCCACCACCACCATCCACCTCAGTCCACTGCTACGCCATCGCCACCATCACTAACATCACATCACCCATCTCCCTCACAACCAGCACCACCACCACCACCATCCATCGCCACCATTACCACCACCACTACCCCCTCATCACCACCCCTGCCGTGGCCACCACCATTACTACCATCATCACCACCCTCACATCACCGCAGCATCTCCACCCTGGAACCCCACCTTCAGCCCCCAAGCACTCCATCACTGTGATCCCCACATTCCCAGACCCAGTGTACGGGGTGCTGATGCAGACACAGGGTGTCAGGACGGAGGTTGTTGAAAAGATGGCCCGGGGACGTGAGGCTACCACGTGTGAGGGAGTTCCAGGAGTGTCCAAGAAGATCTTAGACACATGGGCAGCTCTGGAGTCCGCAGGACAGAAGCCAGGGGGTCCAGAGCATGGATGAGTCCAGGGGCCTTGCCCGGATGCCCTCCAGTGGGGCCTTGCCTGGCATCAGTGAGTCCAGGGGCCTTGTCTGGATGCCCTCTTGCATGGAGGCAGGGAACAGCAGTTTCTGGGAAGAGTCAGAGCAAGGCGGCCATGAGCACTGAGCATGTGTGAGCTGCGGCCCAGGGAGGATGTGGGGCTTCTCCTGGCACACATGGCCTTCTGGGAAGTTGGGGAAGAAGGCTGGGCTGGGGTGGGAGGAAGACTCCTCATCTGAACATAGTGCCTTGTGGTGACCGAGCCCTGAGCCCCCAGCCCAGGGGTTCAGCCACCCTACCATCCTCCAGCCTGCAGCAGCATGTGGCTCAGGACACCTTTGTCCGGTGACATTTCTCCTGTTAGATGCAGTGCTGGGTGTGGCAGGGACAGCGTTGGTCTGGAGTCTGCCCACACATGCCTGGGACACAGGTGGGCCAAAGCAAATCTGGGGCCTCCAGCCCTGGCACCGGACAAGGGCCTGGGACACTGACCTTTTCCCACCAGGCCGGGCAGCTCCCGGCATGCTTCTCCAACGATGAGAGGACAAGGAAGGGACCAAAGCCACAGCCACCAGAGAAAATGCTGTCAGGTGTGGCTGTAACGCAGGGCCTCTGGTTTCAAAGGCAGCATGTGTGGACATGGGCACACCGCACTGCACACGGGCCAGGCCCACCTAGGTTTGGGTCATGTTTTGCTGCACAATACCACTCAAACATGCTAGGGTTTTTGGAATCTGAGGGTCAGGGATAGTGCCGGGCCTGCACTGGCCACCTCTGGGGCTGATGTGGACAGGATGCCGCTCTCTGCTATGTAGCTGCCGCCTGGGGATGCTCCTGGTCACTCATGGCTATGCAGATTGCCGGACGGTGCTCCCTTCCCCATCCATGTGGCCCAATCCCGATCTGAGGGAGGGGGTGACCCATCTGACCCGAGTTCACAGGGTTGGAGTCCCAGCAGAGGGGTGAGGCACAGGCTAGCACACCAAAGGCACCCGTGCCAGGCCAGAACCCTCTTTGGGCTCACCTTGGCATTTGGTTTTGGATGACGTGCTTGGGTGTGGGGGACTCTGCACGGCCTGCTCTGCACACCTCTCTCCTTGGGGCTTCTGAAATCAGGATCCAGCTCAAGCTGGTGTGCAGAGCCTGACAGGGTCTGCCCTCTGCCCATGGAGGCCCAGATCTGTAGTCCCAGGTACCTCAGGGTGGAGACAGGGTGACACGGTCACACACACGCGTGTGCACACACATACAGGTGTGCAAGGCACATGCACGCATGTGCATGCACACACACACACACACACATACTTGTGCACACATGCACAGACTTCATGGGCATCAGCCCATCAGCCTCCGGGCTCTAAGCTCACGGCTCACCCAGTCAGGCTGAGAGGCTTAGGCTGCCCCCTGCTGGGGATATGGAGGAAAGCACCAAAAGCCGCTCACTCTCCCTGCATTTCCTTTGAGCATTTCAGGTTTTGTTTTTGTTTTTCTCCCAGGGTGCTTGGAGCACATGCTGCCCCCCTGCTGAGGATGGAGGAAGGAAGGCAGGGGCACCAGCCCTGGGGACGGGGCACAGGATGGCAGGCCTGAGCGGGCAGGAGAGGGTCCCTTTGCCTTGGGGCAGAGGAAGGCCGCACACAGGGAGGGCTGGGTTTTTAGTTCTTTTTATTGAAGAAAAGAAAAGGAGAGAAAAAATAGATTCCCCACCCCGCTTCTTCCCGGAGCAGGCTTCGTCCTGCCCCTGGGGCCTGGGCCGGGGCTGGGGTCTCCCCCCGAGGCCTGGCAGGGGCCCAGGGCCCTGGAAGGGAGGGGGGGTCTGGCTGCTTCCCAAGGGGTGAGGGGTATCTAAAAAACGGAGCCAGGCTGGCAGGCCACAGGCAGTCCCCTGCAGCGGTGCCCGAGGCAGGCATCCTAGGAGGGCTGGCCACACCAGGCCTGCCCGTGTCCACCGCCGCCCGCCCGCCGTCCGCTGGGGCTCGCCCAAGGAGGGCAGAGTCTGAGGCACCTTCCTGCCTCTGGAACCCTGTGCCGGCCGGGCCGGGCCGCCTCCTGTCCTGCTTCTGGCGCTGGTCCCAGCACGGCCGGCCCTTCGCCTGCCGGACTCCGGGCCCGGGCCTGGCTGCCACGGTGAGTGGGTCTCGCCCGTCTGTGGCTGGTGCGGGCAGAGCAGCATCCCTCCGGGCCCGGCGCGGGGCCGCGCCTGCCCGCTCAGACCTCGGTCTGGAGGTCGATGATGTCCTGGCCCACCAGTGGGATGGTGGCGCCGGCCTTCTCCCACTCCACGCTGCGCAGCTCCAGCGGCGATGGGGGCAGGGGCTCCAGCTCCTTCTTCACCCAGGCCGGCGTGCTGTGCGGCTTCCGGAGGCTCTCCCAGGCCCGCTTGTTGGGTGTCTGCTGCTTGTCTGGCTGCGGTGGCGCGGGTGAGGCAGGGTGAGGAGAGGAAAGGAGGGCTCAGCAAGAGAGCTGTGGGTGGAGTCAGTGACCCGGGCTCCGGGGAGGGGCGGCTGCCCACCCTGAGCCCCGCCCAGCCCAAGCAAGGGGATGGGTGAGTGACCCAGAGGGCGGGGAAGGGGCTCCCACGGGCACCCTCCGCCCGCCGCAGACCTTGCCCTCCTGGCCCAGGGCCTCCTTGTCCTTCTCGGCCGCGTGCTGCAGCTTGCGATTCAGGTCCTGGAACAGGTCCTGGTGCCTTTTGCGTGTGTGCATGATTTTCTGTGGAGGGGACAGCGACCTGAGACGAGGGCCCAGCCCACCCCACTCTGCCCTGCCTGAGGCTGCCTGGGCCTCCCCCCCTCCCTGCCCAGGGGCCTCCCCCCCTCCCTGCCCAGGGGCCTCCCCCCCTCCCTGCCCAGGGGCCTCCCCCCCATCCCTGCCCAGGGGCCGGCTCCCCCCCTCCCTGCCCAGGGGCCTCCCCCCCTCCCTGCCCAGGGGCCTCCCCCCTTCCCTGCCCAGGGGCCTCCCCCCCATCCCTGCCCAGGGGCCGGCCCCTCCCCGTCCCTGCCCAGGGGCCGGCCCCTCCCCGTCCCTGCCCAGGGGCCGGCTCCCCCCCTCCCTGCCCAGGGGCCTCCCCTCCTCCCTGCCCAGGGGCCTCCCCCCCTCCCTGCCCAGGGGCCGGCCCCTCCCCGTCCCTGCCCAGGGGCCGGCCCCTCCCCGTCCCTGCCCAGGGGCCGGCTCCTCCCCATCCCTGCCCAGGGGCTGGCCGGAGCCGCCAGCTGAGGGGTTCAGAGTGGCCCCACATGTGTGTGTGGGAAGGGCAGCACCCACCTCAAAGTCCAGCTCTGCATACCGCGACTTGCGCCTCTGTGGAGAGAAGGGTCTGTGTTGTAGGTAACGGTTCCCCAAAACACCTGTCTGAGCACGCGGAGAACTGGCCATGGGACTGAAACCCACCCAGAGGAGCCGGCTGCCCTTTCCCTGTAACCATGAGACTGCTGGGGCCAGCGGGAAACAGCTGGTGGTGACAGGCCCAGGGCCTCTCCCCAACAGTGCCCTTCTGCCCTGGGATGGGCCGATGCCCCCCCTCCCCAGGGCACCTCCTCTCCCACATCTAGTGCAGGCCGAGGCCCTGTTCCAGGGGACTGCCTCTCCCACATCTAGGACCTGTTACCTCAAGCTGGCCCCTCGGTCTGTATACCACATGCCATGGCCAGCACACAGGCCAGGCAAGGACGTCCAGCCCCACCAGCTCAGAGCATGCCACCCAATAGGCAAGGGCTTATGCTTGGGGCCACGTGGCAGAGCCCAGCCAGCAATGAGCCTGGGCCAGGGCTGCACCGCCAGAAGCCGGGAGCTGGGCAGCAGAGCCTGTCCTGAGCCAGGGCAGGGCCCGAGGCTGTGCCTCGCCTCCGCCTGGGTCCCGTGTCCTGTGGGCTGGCGATCAGGAGCTCTGGTGGATGTAAGCAGAGACGCACTGCCCTGCCGGGCATCCAACGGGGCAACGGGGCAGCTTCAGCCACAGGCCAAGGCCACAGAGCACCAGCCGCCCTGGTGCTGGCTGCCTGCCGCCCTCGTCACCCTGACCCTCAGGCCCACCACACCCAGGGGTGGCCTGGCCCCTCATACGGGCCCTGTCCCAGCCCCCCTCACCTCCAGGGAGCTCACGGACAATGTGGCAACGTTCTCATTCTTGGTCCCAGCCACAGAGCTGGGTCCTGGGTGGACGGCCGGCTCTCCTGTGTCCCCCAGGCTGGAAGGTGCTGGCTCCAGGGTGGGAGGTGGGGGCAGGGGCTGCTGGGGCGGCGGGGGCGGCGGGGGTGGGGGCGGCGGGGGCTGGACGGGGGGCACTTCGGGGGGCCCGTTGCCCGGCGGCTCCCGCGAGGGCGGGCTGCGGGTGGGGAAGCTGGCGTCGGGCGCCATGCTCAGGTGGATGAGCCGTGTCTGGGGCATCTGGTCGATGTTGATGCTATACTTGGGCTCCTCCTTGGGCTTGGGCCGCAGCGTGGCTGTGGCCGTGGGCAGGATCACGTAGCTCGTGTCCAGAGCCTTCTCCTGGGCCCGGCTCAGCTCTGAGTCCAGCTTCTTGAAGATGTCCCCGTCACCGATGAAGGAGGACTTGGGTGCCTTGTCTTTCTTGAGGGTCAGCGAGTGGTTGGGGAAGTCGGGCAGCGGCCCGCCGGGGTAGCGGGGAGAGCCGTGCAGGTGCAGCTTGGACACGTTGGCCGGCAGGCTGTTGAAGGTGGGGGGCGGCCCCTTGGCCAGCTTCAGCTTCTCCTCCTCGGGCAGCGACGGCCGCTTGAGCGTGCCCGTGATGGTGGCCGTGCGGCAGGCGGCGATGTCCTTGTTCAGCACTGAGGGTGGCAGGCACGGGCAGCGGGGTCAGGGCGCGGCTGCCGCTCCGGCTCCCCACCGGACGCCCCACCCTGGCGCCCGCCCTGCCCCCGGTCCTGCGTCCTTTGTCTTCCCAACAGGTCTGGCCGGTGAGGTGCTCCTCTGCTGGCCTCTGCCGGTGGGGAGGGTGACTCCTACCAGAACCGCAGGCCGGACTCTCACAGCAAGGAGCGGGGAGCCCGGGAAGAGGGGGTGCCGGGCCCCAGGTGCACAGCCGTCAGGGGACTTGGAGCTTGGCACCGAGCCCAGACCAGCCCCCAGCGGCACTCGGGCCCTGCACCTCTGGCAGGCCGCTCTGGCCATCCAGGAGCCTGGGCCCCGTCCACGGCCCTGAGGCAACCTAGACCCAGAAGAGGCTCCTCTCCCAGGCCTCAGGCAGTCCACTTTCTCAGACTACCTGACCTCTGACCTGACTCCTCCAACCACCTGACATCTGCTTCTTGTCAGTCAATCGGGCCCCCCCTGGCCGGCCGAGCACTGAAGCTGCCCACGTCCCGGGTGCCCAGGCTGGCACTCTGTGTACTTCCTTCCCTCTATGACTCCACTTCTTTCCAAGCAGCTCCTCCCAGTCTCCTGGCCCTGTGGTCCACCCCTGCTGGCTCAGCCTGGCTCCCAAACCACACCCGGCACCAGCCCTGAGCCCTAGCTCCCTTCATGGTGTTAGCAGCTGACCTTGGTTGCCCACCACCTCCTCGCTGCCCGGGGCAGGGCCACTCGCCTGCCCGTGGGCCCTTCCCGCTGCTCGGGAGCTCCTCTTCTTCCCCACCCTCAGGATGGCAACCCTGGCCTCTGCCTGCCCCTCCCTACAGCCATCTTCCTGGGGGCCCCTTCCTGGGGGCCAGGGTCATCCCAGACACCTGGCGCTAGGGCGCGCTGAGAGGTGGGTCATCCGCACCCAAGGCCTGCGGCCTCCCGTCTCTGCTTGTCCCGTGAGCAGCAGCTGTGGCTGGGTGTGGTGCCGCTGTCCTACTCCTCCCAGCCCATCCCTCGCCCCCCACGCGGGGCTTGGGCCTGCACAGGTAACCACAGCACAGCTGCCGCTCTGCGCCTGCCGCTCCATTGGCACATAGGCAGGGCCTGCTGGCCCTGAGCCATGGGGACCCCTGGGAGACCGTAGGGCTGGGTCACTGGACACCGGAGGGAAGAGTCTCTGCCCGCTCCGAGGCCACTCCCCCAGGAGGCCTTCTGGGACCACCAGAGCATCGCAGACCTCTGCCTGGAGCTGCTCCAGCCCTACCCCGTGCTGCCTCTGAGGAGGAGACCCTTCAGTACCTGACCGACAGACATGCCAGGGAGCTTCCATGCAACACGTGGCTGTCTCCTGAGCGTTCCCTGATCCTGCAGCTGAGTCCTTTTGTTAGCTCAGCACTAGCCTAGGAGCCCAGTAACCAGTCCTGTCCTCTGCCTTCCTGCAGCGCCCACTGCTGCCTCTCCCGCCTGAAAGCCTGCCCCTTCCCCACACTCAGACCAACAGCGAAGAAATGGAGCTGACACGAGCATGGGTGTGCGACAGACAGGAGGCAGGTGCTGCTGGGGGGTGGAGGGGGTCTCTTGCATAGCTTGCCTGCCTCCCCCCATGAGGAGGGGCAAGGGAGGGCAGGAGGACAGAGGGGGCAGACCAGGAGGGTAGAGAGGAGAGGGCAGGAGGGGAGAGTGGTGGAGGGCAGGGCTACACTGGCCCCTAGGAGCGCACAGACCTCCTGCAGCCTCGGTCGGGACCAGGCCCAGCCGGGGCCCTGGCTTGGCCCACATGACAGACAGCCACGGATGGGACAGATGACAGACACATGACCGCGCGGTAAAGAGAAGGAAGCAGGTGAGCCGGCTTGGCCACCCTGCGCTCTCACCTGTCAGGCGCTCACCTGATCTACAGGCCAGATCCACGTCCTTCTCAAAGTCAGTCTGCAAGACAGAGACAGCGGGAAGGGTGAGTGCAGGGCCCAGCCAGGAGCTGCCACCGCAGAGCCACAGCCACACCTCCTGTGCGTGCACCTGCGTGCCACCACGGAGCCACAGCCACACCTGTGCGTGCACCTGCGTGCCACCACAGAGCCACAGCCACACCTGTGCGTGCACCTGCGTGCCACCGCAGAGCCACAGCCACACCTGTGCGTGCACCTGCGTGCCACCGCAGAGCCACAGCCACACCTGTGCGTGCACCTGCGTGCCACCACGGAGCCACAGCCACACCTGTGCGTGCACCTGCGTGCCACCACGGAGCCACAGCCACACCTGTGCGTGCACCTGCGTGCCACCACAGAGCCACAGCCACACCTGTGCGTGCACCTGCGTGCCACCACGGAGCCACAGCCACACCTCCTGTGCGTGCACCTGCGTGCCACCACGGAGCCACAGCCACACCTGTGCGTGCACCTGCGTGCCACCACGGAGCCACAGCCACACCTGTGCGTGCACCTGCGTGCCACCGCAGAGCCACAGCCACACCTGTGTGTGCACCTGCGTGCCACCATAGAGCCACAGCCACACTTGTGCGTGCACCTGCGTGCCACCACGGAGCCACAGCCACACCTCCTGTGCGTGCACCTGCGTGCCACCACGGAGCCACAGCCACACCTCCTGTGCGTGCACCTGCGTGCCACCGCGGAGCCACAGCCACACCTCCTGTGCGTGCACCTGCGTGCCTGCTCACAACTGCGAGGCAGTCCATGCGGGTGTGCACTGTGCTGTGCCCCCAAGAAGGCCGGTCCACGTTTATGGCCTGCCAGGAGGCCACACCCCGCATTCACACGAGTGCTCACAAGTGTGCGTGTGTGTCCACAGCCTGCCAGGAGGCCACACCCCGCATTCACACGAGTGCTCACAAGCGTGCGTGTGTCCACAGCCTGCCAGGAGGCCACATCCCGCACTCACACGAGTGCTCACAAGCGTGCGTGTGTCCACAGCCTGCCAGGAGGCCACACCCCGCATTCACACGAGTGCTCACAAGCGTGCGTGTGTCCACAGCCTGCCAGGAGGCCACACCCCGCATTCACACGAGTGCTCACAAGTGTGCGTGTGTGTCCACAGCCTGCCAGAAGGCCATACCCTGCATTCACACCAGTGCTCACGAGCGTGCGCGTGTGTGTCCGTGGCACACCCAGGAGGCCCTGCCCCCGCATTCACACAAGTACTTGCAAGCGTGCGTGCGTGTGTGTGTGTGTCCGTGGCACACACAGGAGGCCCTGCCCCCGCATTTACACAAATGCCCACCAGGAAGCCACAGCTCCGCGTTCATATGAACACTTGTGAACATGCACGTGCATATCCATGGCCCACCAGGAGGCCACACCCTTGCATTCACACAAATGCTCATGAGCTTGCATGTGTGTGTTCACAGCCTGCCAGGAGGCCCCTGCATTCACATGGGTGCTCCTGTGTGTACATGTGCACATCCACGCCTGCCCACGAGCTGTGCCCCTGCACTCACACGAGTGCTCACGTGTGCACATGCATGTCCATGGCGTGCATGTGCAGGTCCATCGCCCACCAGCAGGCCACACTTCTGCATTCACACAAGTGCTTGTGAGCGTGCACATGCGTGTCTACAGCCCACTCACGAGGCCATACCCCCACGCATTCACACAAGCTCTTGAGAGCTTGCATGTGCTGGACGTGTGGGGCGTGACTCCCCGTGGCCTTTGACGGTGTGCATGTGTACCCGGGTGTCTGCATGTTCATGGTGTGTGTGCGTGTATACTGCACCTTCAAAGGTGAGTGCATGTTCATAGTGTGTGTTCATGGTGTGTGTGCATGTGTATCTGTGCCTTCACAGGTGAGTGTCTGCATGTTCGAAGTGTGTGTGTGTGTGCACCCATGCCTTCATGGGAGTCTGCACATTCACAGTATGCATGTGTATCCACACCTTCACAGTGAACGTCTGCAGGTTCATGGTGTACGTGTGTACCTGTGCCATCACAGGTGTCTGCATGTGTGACGTGAATTGTGAGGCATGTGCTGTGGCTTACACATGTGCAAGCTCCTGTTTATGTATATTTGCATGCATGAGTGAATTGCATGTGTTTGTGTGAACACACACATGTCCTCTGAGGCCCGTGGAGTGGCTGGCGTCCAGCCATCTGGCTGAGCAGGGCTGCTGGTTGCAGAGAGAGCTCAGGCAGAGCCCTGGTCCCCACCACAGCTTGGGACAGCAGTGGAGAGTGGGGACAGGCAAAGGTGGGGAGCAGCAGTGCTCCCCACACTGTGAGCCCATCTAGAGACCTAGCGCCTCACCCAGGGTCCTTCCCTGCAAAGGCAGGAGTCAAGCTGTCTGGAAGATCAACATAGTCTTCCCTGAGGTCAGAAGTTAGGCTGGAGAAATGTCAGCGACAGGGAAGCTGTGTGCTCAAGAGTATCCCATACCCCAATACCTGTTTCCTTCTAGACAGAGATGCTGAGGTCCAGGGAAGGGCCTGAGGCCACTCCTCAGGGCAGAGCTAGGACAAGGCTGGGGGTGGGGGAGGACCCGCGCCCCTCCTGAGCCTCCAGGCATGTGAACCAGGGTGGAAGCAGCCCTCTAGCGAGGGGTGGGGAAGGTCTGGTGAGTGGACTGTCTGGACTGCAGGGCCCAGGGCCACTGGGCAGGATGTGGCAAGTCACACAGGAGCCCGGTGCCAGGGTGACCTGGGGTGAGGCCCGGGGTGGGAGGCCCGTGCAGCCGGGCGCAGGCACGGCCCCGCCCACACTCACCATCTCGGCCCACACCAGCCCTACACCTGGCCCAGGGGTTTCACCTTGGCAAGCCTCAGTTTCCGTAACTGTAAACCAGGTCTAATCCAGGCTCAGGGAGAATGTGGAGGCCCCACCAGGCAGCAGGGTGCCTACACTCCCCAGCCCCCAGTCCTACCATGAGCTGGGCATGGCCGTTCTGGAAGGAGCCACCTGAGTCCCCGTTGCCTTCCTCCTGGCGGTCCACCACGCGGCACTTCACAGCGTCCTGGACCTGGGGAGGGTGGGGGTGTCAGTGGGCCCTTCAGGGGGCAGCACCCCACACTGGCCACAAGAAGTGCCACCCATGGCTCAGGGGAGGGGAGAGGGGCCAGTGACGCGGCCACTCTGGGCTTTCCTGAGAACCCATCAGGATCAACTGCACCCCAGCGTCCCCAGCATTCTTTGGCATGTCCCTGGGGATGACATGTCCAGTTAAGGGACATCACTTCCCAGGGACATGGCCGTGGGGAGGGGCTGGGGCCGGCCATTCAGCCAGGATGGGGATTGTCAACAGGAGGCGGAGACTAGATATCCAGAAGGGTCTCCACAGGAGGAAGGACAGGGGAGCAGCGGTCACCCCAGGCCCAGTGCTAGGGACCACAGTGAGCTCCCAGGGAATGCGGGGCCTCTCGGCCTCCCCCTCTGGATTTCCTGACCATGACTCTGCACGCAAGTCCCACTCTGGGAGCCAGGCCGCCGTGGGGCCACTCTTCCCTGTCAAGGTCATCCGTCTGACCTGCTGCTCCTGTGCTCCTCTGCGGGCCTATGGACTCCACCGTCCAGCTCTTCTAGAACTCTCTCTCCAGTCTCTATCTGGGGGTGGAAGGTGCCCCCTCCAGGGGAGTTACCGAGCCCCTTTTCTCCCTAGGACGTTTCTGGTTCTTTTCTGGAGGCTACCCAGTTCTGTTTTGGGAGGCCAGGGAGGGCGCAGAGGCAAGAGTGTGGCCTCTGGACAGACAGGCAGCTGAAAGTGCGATGGGGCCAGCCTGAGCCACTGCCTGGGCCCGGCTGAGTGCGGTGGGGCCAGCCTGAGCCTCTGCCGGGGCCTGGCTCAGTGCCGCGGAGACGGCCGAGTGCCGCGGAGCCAAGGTGGCTGTGGCCACCGTGTCTCCTGGGATGGCGGGAGAGGCCTCAGAGCTCCCGCTCCCTCCTGCCTGCAGTCTGCCTCCCGGTGGGCTCAGTGGCTGTCCCTGCTCCCACCTTTCAACCCCAACGGCAGCCCCCGAGCACGTGAAGGGCTGTGGGCTCTGCCACAGGGGCACTGTGTGGCTGGGCCTCGGGAACTTCAGGCTCTCTTCCTCCCTGGGGCGGGAGCAGGGCCCCGGCACGGGCGGACCCTGGCGCCCAGCTCCCTGACCCTGGAGGGTCTCCTCCAGAGGCCCTGCAGAGGACGGGAGCACGGGAGAACGGGGAGACGCCGCCGGACTCCCAACATCCCTGCCTCCTGCAGCTGAGGCCACCGGCTGTTTTGCCCATGAACCTCTGAAAACTCCCACAGCAGGGTTCTAGGAAGTTCCAGGAAGAAAGGGAGTGAAGCCCCTCTGCCCTCAGCATCCTAACTGGCTGCTAGGGGAGCCACAGTCCCCCAGTGCGTCCATCTCTGAGGTCCAGACACATCTCCCTCATTACTGCCCCTTAACTCCCTCATTACTGCTGGCCTTCGGGACAGTTTGGTGAGAACCCAATATTGACATTTTCTGGAAAGCTCCAGAAACTTCCAGAAGCACCTGCCCTGGGCCTCCTGCTCCACAAACCTCATGAAGATGGGGCTGTCTGCCCCATGAGTGCTGGAAGATGCCCTAACCATGCACCCGGCTGTTTGTCTGCGGGAGGCCAGTGCCGCCTCCCCCAGCCCCTGTGGGGTGCTCGCGCCCACCTCTCTCCGCAAGATGCAGTGCACCATCACAATGACGAAGCCCTCCAGAGAGTCGAAGACGGCGAAGAGGATCTGGAAGAGGGCGGAGCGGCGGTCGGTGACCGCCAGCACAGCAGACATCCAGGTCAGCGCCAGCAGCGGCAGTACCACGCAGGAGCTCCACAGGGAGGCCCTGGGGACGGAGCGCGTCAGCTGCGGGCACCCCCCCCCCCCGCCCCATGGCTCCTCCTGCCCAGCTCTGCCCTCCCCCTTCCCAAGACCCTCCCTCCATCCCAGACCTGGGGGCTGCAGCGGAGATCGGCAGTGCCCGTGGACTCAGGGGCTCAGGAGGGTAGACCTCCCCCCCCCCGAGCCCTGGCAGGGCCAGGGAGCAGGCTCTCAGGGAGAGACTCGGGCCCCTGACTATCTAGAAGACGGGGCAGGGATGTGGACTGGAAGGGGACGAGATGCTGGGAGCTGGGTGGGGCGCCAAGACCCCTTAGTTCCAGCCTCCAGGGCTCAGGTCCCACGTGGCAGGGCAAGATGGCCAAAGGAGGAGGCATGCTGGCCAGGCCACAGCGGGAGAGCGAGGAATGTGGAGAAAGGGAGGGGCAGAAAGCTGAGGGGAGACAGGACAGACAGTGGACGGGACAGCTGGACAAAGCCAGGGGGTCAGAGGAGGCCAACACAGACAGAAACACAGCGGACAGGCATTTCTTCCTCTCCGGGGACCCCCTTCCCGGGCCTCCAGTGCCCTATCAGTCACCTGTGGGTCCACCTTGGGTGTCCCTACCCCTCAGGCAGCCCCCCACTTCCCCCGCCTGGCTACACACCTGCTGCCAGATAGGCACGGTGGGCACAGGTGCTCAGGAAATGTGCCCTGGTCCTGACTCAACACCACCATGGCTGTCAGAGGCCTCCTTCATTGGAGAACCACCCCCAGCATGCCTGGGGGGGCATGCCTGCCCCTGCCCGGTCCCCAGGGGTCAGCAACACTTATTCCTCTCATGGTCATCCCTCCATCCCCTCCAAAGAGGTGGAGGAACAAACAGCTCTGTCTGATATCACCCACGCTGGCCCCACCTCTTGAGGAGCTGGGGTGGCAGGTGTGGTGCCAGCTTGCCCTCATCTCCTGACCTCAGTGGTCAGCACAGCCTGCCTAGCTGTCCCCTCACCTTGACCCCAGCCCAGCCAGCCCGGCTTTGGTCCTGTTCCGGTGACCCTGTTCCGGTGAGCTGCCGGTCTTGGCTGCAGTGTCCCCACCCGACTCAGCTGCCGCTGCCTCCCCGGCTCCGCCCAGCCAAGGCCTCCTGGGTCTCAGACTCAGCCCTGCAGGTTCCCTGCCACTGAGGCTGGGTGGGTGGGGCAGTGGCCTGCAGAGCCGCGGTGGGCGCAGGGGCTCACAAAGCCCACACATCACCACCTTTGACCAACGCCCCTCTCGGCCTCCGCCTCCCCACCAGGTCAGCGGGCCCCACACCCCCTTGCTTTACTTGGGAAGCAGACGTTCTTTGAGCTATGGCCCTCACTCCCTCCTGGCCTGCCCCTGCGTCTTTCTGACTCCCAACAGGGGCCGGGTGTGCGGCTGACATCTTCAGACTGGCAGCTGGCCTGCGGCCGGGGGTGGGGGTCTGTCAATGACTCCCCCGAGTGCACTGCTTCCACAGTGGGGCTGTGGGGGGTGCAGGCAAGCACAGAAAGATCTGGAAAGGTGCACAGCAGCCCGACATGAAAGGAGCCAAGAGCTGCTGAAGGAAGGTTGGGGTGGGGCCGGGTCACTGCCCGCATTGCTCATGTGTGTGTGCAGGAGCTCCACACACCCTGCTCAGGGGGGTCCAGCCCCCAGCCCCCTGACTTCCTGGGGCAGAGGGTCATGGAGCAGCTGCAATGCTTGCTGGGCCCACACCCACATCCCACAGGGAACCCTGGACTCAAGCCCAGCGGGGAGCAGGCATGGAGGGGCCAGCGCCCAGGATGCCATTACTCTGACTCGAACATTTGCAAGTCACATACACAGTGCCTTATCCACATGCACACGCTCACACATATGCACACACCATCACTCACACCCATGCCCCATGCTCACACTTGCCCACTTGAGTCCTCATAATACTCTCCATGCATGTACTCTCCACGTGTGGACTCTGCACATGCCGAGTCTCCCACCTGTGCCCCTGACCACACATGCACACACCTGCACGCAGTCACATGCACACACTGCATGCGTGTACTCACACAGGCTCACTGCTCACACATGCACACACCTGCACGCAGCCAGTCACATGCACACACTGCATGCTTGTACTCACACAGGCTCACTGCTCACACATGCACACACCTGCACGCAGTCACATGCATACACTGCATGCTTGCACTCATAGGCTCACTGCTCACACATTCACACATCTGCACACAGCCAGTCACATGCACACACTGCATGCTTGTACTCACACAGGCTCACTGCCCACACATGCACACATCTGCACAGTCAGGTGCACATACTACATGCTTGCACTCACACAGGCTCACTGCTCACACATGCACACACATGCACACAGCCAGTCACGTGCACACAGTGCATGGTTGTACTCACACAGGCTCACTGCCCACACATGCACATACCTGAACGCAGTCAAGTGCACATACTACATGCTTGCACCCACACAGGCTCACTGCTCACACATGCACACAACTGCATGCACTCATGTGTACACACTGCATGCTTGCATCACATAGGCTCACTGCTCACACCTGCACACACCTGCACACAGCCAGTCACATGCACACAGTGCATGGTTGCATTCACACAGGCTCACTGCCCACACATGCACACACCTGCACACAGCCAGTCACATGCACACACTGCAAGCTTGCACTCACACAGGCTCACTGCCCACACATGCACACACCTGCATGCAGTCACATGCACACACCTGCACGCAGCCAGTCACATGCACACACCGCATGCTTGTACTCACACAGGCTCACTGCTCACACATGCACACACCTGCACGCAGTCAGGTGCACACACTACATACTTGTACTCACACAGGCTCACTGCCCACACATGCACACACTGCACGCAGCCAGTCATTTACACACATTGCAAGCTTGCTCTCACACAGGCTCACTGCCCACACATGCACACATCTGCACAGTCACATGCACACAGTGCATGGTTGCACTCACACAGGCTCACTGCCCACACATGCACACACCTGCATGCAGTCACATGCACACATTGCAAGCTTGCTCTCACACAGGCTCACTGCCCACACATGCACACACCTGCACGCAGTCACATGCACACACCTACACACAACCAGTCACATGCACACACTGCAAGCTTGCACTCACACAGGCTCACTGCCCACACATGCACACACCTGCACGCAGTCAGGTGCACACACTACATGCTTGTACTCACACAGGCTCACTGCCCACACCTGCACGCAGTCAGGTGCACACACTACATGCTTGTACTCACACAGGCTCACTGCTCACACATTCACACACCTGCACGCAGCCAGGTGCACACACTACATGCTTGTACTCACACAGGCTCACTGCTCACACATCCACACGCAGTCAGGTGCACACACTACATGCTTGCACTCACACAGGCCCACTGCCCACACATGCACACATCTGCACACAGTCACGTGTACACACTGCATGCTTGCACTCACACAGGCTCATTGCTCACACATGCACACACCTGCACGCAGCCAGTCACATGCACACAGTGCATGGTTGCACTCACACAGGCTCACTGCCCACACATGCACACACCTGCACGCAGTCACATGCACACACCTGCACACAGTCATGTGCACACACTGCATGCTTGCTCTCATACAGGCTCACTGCTCACACATGTACACACCTGCACGCAGTCACATGCACATGCTGCATGCTTGCTCTCACACAGGCTCACTGCTCACACATGCACACACCTGCACGCAGCCAGTCATGTGTACACGCTGCACACTTGCACTCACACAGGCTCACTGCTCACACATGCACACACCTGCACACAGCCAGTCATGTGTACATGCTGTACACTTGCACTCACACAGGCTCACTCAGCTCCAGCACTCCCTCTCACACACACTTGCTGGGGGCACTGCCCCTGGGTAGGTTGAGTGCAGGAGAGGGCGCTCGGGGTGCAGTGCACAGACCTGCCCACCCCCACTTGTGTCACGTGCCTCCCTCAGCCTGGCACTCAGAGGACAGGAGCCGGGGGCAGAGGACAGGGTGCTGCCCCCCAACCCTGAGGGGAATGGCAGAAATGAAAGCAAATAAAGAAAAAACATAAAACAAAGAAATCTGACTTTGGAGAGTGTGGACTTGCAGGGCTGCCTGGTGGGGGGGGTGGGCACTAGTGAGGCATTCCTGGTGGCGTGGGAGGGAGGTGGCGTGGAGGGAGGTGGCGTGGGACATGGGGAGGCTCCACGCTCAGCACACGGGAGTGGGCATGCAGGCGGCCGACTGTAAGTGAAATCAAAAGGCTGAAGCGAAAGCAAACAGGGCAACAGAAAAGAGCAAAACCAGCTAGGCGGCTGCAGCTCTCGGCCAGCTGAGGGACCTGGTCTAGGGTGTGGGGCGCACTTGGACAGGGGACCCAGGGCCGGAAGGCAAGGCAGGCAGCCTGAGCTGCAGGTGCCGGTGTCTGGCTGACTGCGGCTCTCACACGTACACTGAGCAGCAGGCCCCCAAAGAAGCTCATGCCACCGCTTCGTCCTGTGCAGCTTTATCTGTGTGGCCACCCTATGAGGACAGGCCCGGCTGCCAGCACTGTGAAGGGCTCACCAGAAGGGGAGCCCTTCCGCCTTCATCTGACCTGGGCAGCACCTCCCGCAGGTGCAACTGCCAGGTGCACGTACGCATGACCAGTGGGCCTGTCTGTGCCAGGAGAGGGTAGCTACCAGCCCAGAGCGTCCACAGGGGAGCTCCTGCACACCCTCCACCCGCTAGTCACACTCCTAAACCTCAGTGTACCCAGCTGGAAGACGGAAACAGAAAACAGACCGTGTCTCCATGGTTACCCTAAGAGCAGGGCACAAAGATGGGCTGGGGAGTGCTCCGCGCACCACGGCCTTGACGGCTGGAGCGGCTGCAGTCTGTGGGCTGTATGGCGTGGGTCCCAAACGTGGAGCGCTGTGGCCTCTTTGGAGTGTGTCCAAGGTCCCGCAGTGGTGTGGGAGGGGGGCAGGTGTCCCGCACTGTGTGTGTGGGGGCAGGTGTCCCGCAGTGGTGTGGGAGGGGGGCAGGTGTCCCGCACTGTGTGTGTGGGGGCAGGTGTCCCGCAGTGGTGTGGGAGGGGGTCAGGTGTCCCGCAGTGTGTGTGGGGGTGTCCCGCAGTGTGTGTGTGTGGGGTCCCACAGTGTGTGTGTGGGGGGGTCCCGCAGTGTGTATGTGTGTAGGGTGTATGTGTGGGGGTGTCCCGCAGTGTGTATGTGTGTAGGGTGTATGTGTGGGGGTGTCCCACAGTGTGTGTGTGTGTAGGGTGTATGTGTGGGGGTGTCCCGCAGTGTGGGGGGGCCCGCAGTGTGTGTGTGTAGGGTGTGTGTGTGGGGTGTCCCACAGTGTGTGTGTGTGTAGGGTGTATGTGTGGGGGTGTCCCGCAGTGTGTGTGTGGGGGGTCCCGCAGTGTGTGTGTGTGTAGGGTGTATGTGTGGGGTCCCGCAGTGGGTGTGGGGGTCCCGCAGTGTGTGTGTGGGGTCCCGCAGTGTGTGTGGGGGGCCTGCAGTGTGTGTGTGGGGGTCCCGCAGTGTGTGTGTGTGTAGGGTGTATGTGTGGGGGTGTCCCGCAGTGTGTGTGTGTGGGGTCCCGCAGTGTGTGTGGGGGTCCCGCAGTGTGTGTGGGGGTCCCGCAGTGTGTGTGGGGGGCCTGCAGTGTGTGTGTGGGGTCCCGCAGTGTGTGTGTGGGGTCCCGCAGTGTGTGTGTGTGGGGTCCCGCAGTGTGTGTGTGTGGGGTCCCGCAGTGGGTGTGGGGGTCCCGCAGTGTGTGTGTGGGGTCCCGCAGTGTGTGTGTGGGGTCCCGCAGTGTGTGTGGGGGGCCTGCAGTGTGTGTGTGGGGGTCCTGCAGTGTGTGGGTGGGATCCCGCAGTGTGTGTGTAGGGTGTATATGTGGGGGTGTCCCGCAGTGTGTGGGGGGGGTCCTGCAGTGTGTGTGTAGGGTGTATATGTGGGGGTGTCCCGCAGTGGGTGTGGGGGGTCCCGCAGTGTGTGTGTAGGGTGTATATGTGGGGGTGTCCCGCAGTGGGTGTGGGGGGTCCCGCAGTGTGTGTGTAGGGTGTATATGTGGGGGTGTCCCGCAGTGTGTGGGTGGGGTCCCGCAGTGTGTGTGTAGGGTGTATATGTGGGGGTGTCCCGCAGTGGGTGTGGGGGGTCCCGCAGTGTGTGTGTAGGGTGTATATGTGGGGGTGTCCCGCAGTAGGTGTGGGGGTCCCATAGTGTGTGTGGGGGGGTCTCGCAGTGTGCGGGGGTCCCGCAGTGTGTGTGTGGGTGTCCCGCAGTGGGTGTGGGGGGTCCCGCAGTGGGTGTGGGGGTCCTGCAGTGTGTGTGTAGGGTGCATGTTGGGGGTGTCCCGCAGTGGGTGTGGGGGGTCCCGCAGTGTGTGTGTGTAGGGTGTATATGTGGGGGTGTCCCGCAGTGTGTGCGTAGGGTGTATATGTGGGGGTGTCCTGCAGTGGGTGTGTGGGGTCCCGCAGTGGGTGTGGGGTCCCGCAGTGTGTGTGGGGGGTCCCGCAGTGTGTGTGTAGGGTGTATGTGTGGGGGGTCCCGCAGTGTGTGTGTGTGTAGGGTGTATGTGTGGGGGGGTCCCACAGTGTGTGTGTAGGGTGTATGTGTGGGGGGTCCCGCAGTGTGTGTGTGTGTAGGGTGTATATGTGGGGGTGTCCTGCAGTGTGTGTGTAGGGTGTATGTGTGGGGGGTCCCGCAGTGTGTGTGTAGGGTGTATATGTGGGGGTGTCCTGCAGTGGGTGTGGGGGTCCCGCAGTGTGTGTGTAGGGTGTATGTGTGGGGGGTCCCGCAGTGTGTGTGTAGGGTGTATATGTGGGGGTGTCCTGCAGTGGGTGTGGGGGTCCCGCAGTGTGTGTGGGGGTCCCGCAGTGTGTGTGTGGGTCCCGCAGTGTGTGTGTGTGGGGGGTCCCGCAGTGTGTGTGTGTGTAGGGTGTATGTGTGGGGGGTCCCGCAGTGTGTGTGTAGGGTGCATGTGGGGGGGTGTCCCGCAGTGTGTGTGGGGGTCCCGCAGTGTGGGTGGTAGGAAGGCCCGCAGAAGGCTGCTCATCTTGCGCCTCACAGACCAGGATTGAGGACAGGGAATGAGGGCTGGTCCTCCGCCGCAGAGATGCTGAGCTCCGAGCCCGGAACCTCCCGCACACCTGCAGCACAGGGTCCCAGGACAGAACCCAGCAGCACCAGGGGGAGTTCTGCTGCCGCTGCTCACGGGGGAGAGCAGGAGGAGCCAGGAAGAGACAGAGACAGAGACACCAAGCAAGACTGGCACAGAGGGGGGGCAGGGGAGGACCCCACGCAGATACCAGCGGCAGGACAGAGACAGAGCGGGCAGGGGAGGAAGAGGGCTTGGAGGGAGGTGGGGCTTCCGCCCAGCCTCCTGCAACCCTACTGGTGCCAGGGCCATTCTGTTCTCCTGGCCAGGCACGCCGTTGGTGCCCAAGGGCCACTCCCCTGCTCGGACTGTCCTCCACAGAAACCCATGGTGGGCAGCAGGGGGCCCCTGGCCAAACTGAGCCCGTGAGCAACAGCACCTCTAGTCTGGGGATCTCACAGACTCCCCCCCCCTCGCCCCCATAACAACAGACAGAGAAGCAGAGGCAGCGCGTGAGGTGGGCCTGGCTGCGTCCCCCAGGCCTCAGCTCTGCAGGGTCAGAGGGGGTGGCGGGGCCTCTGCAGCGGCGGGGCTCAGCGCAGGGCTCAGCGTGGCGGGCGGGGGCTGGGACTTCCCAGCTCATGGTGGCAAGGTGCGAGGGCAGCCCGGGCCTACCCTGCCCGCTCCTTCAGCTTCTTGTCCGTGATGCCATCTTTGGACACGAGTTTGTTGAAGACCAGGATCCCGATGACCATGTTCACCTGCCGGGCAGAGGCGGGCATGGGCCAGGTGCCCAGCTGCCCGGCAGCTAGCTGCAGCCACGCCCCGGTGCCTGGTAGAGCACCAAGGTCACTCCAGCGCTGCCACCAGGAAGACCCATGGCTGGCCAGTGAGGAGCCTCAGCAAGTGGCACCCCTGCCCGGCCTCCCCCCCCGCCACGCCTCCCCCCTGCCCCACCTTTCCCCTGCTCCACCCCTGCCTCAGCCCCAGGTGACTCCGCCACTCCGCCCAGGGCTAAGGATGTCCTCAGCTCAAGACAGGAGCTGGGGCTGTGCCCCACGAGCCAGCTCTGAACCCTGGGGACCCCGAGTGTCTCTCCCCGGGCATCTGCTTGCTCCTCACCTCCAGGCAAAGAACTGCAGGCCCCTGGGTTCACACTACAGAAAGGGTGGCTCGGCCCTAGTCCCCAGCCGGGCCCCTGGGGTTCGAGGTGGGGCGCCTAGAACTCCAGAGTCCACATACATGTCCATGGGTCTGCCTGCTAGGGTGTGGCCCGGCTGACTAACTGCTAGGGAGGAAAGGGTGGGCGGTCCTGGTCCCCACTACCAGTCAGCAGCAGGCTCCACACAGCCCCATCCTGGAGGGACGGCCGCCGTGGGGGCAGGGGTGAGGCCCAGCACAGACAGAGTCCAACCTAGTTGGCCACACATCCCTTCCAGCCTCCACCCTTAAATGGCACCAGGCCCCACAGAGGCACTGCCAGGTGCTGGTTGTCCTGGCCTCGCCCATCTGGGCAACTCTGAGGAGTAAGGAACAGGGGTCCACCCCATGGATGCTGCCAACTGCCTCTGTCCACCGCCTCAGACTCCACTCACATCCTGCAGGGCAGCCGCCCAGGGCCGCTTGTCCACCAAGTCCAGCCTGTGCTGAGCTCCTACTATAACGGTGGAGCAAGCTACAGCAGAACCCTTCTCAGCTGGGTCTGCAGTCCTGGGGCTCCCTGTCTGTCCACGGTCCTGGGGCTCCTTGGTTTGTCGCCCCGGGGCAGGTATGGGAACTGGGCTCGGTGCCAGGCAGTGAAGAGGTCCGTGGCCCTGGGCAGGCTCCCATCCTTGAGACAAGCAGCTCCCGCCCACAGCACCCTGGGTACTGGGGGCTGGGAGTGGATGCCTGTGACCTGGACCTAAGCTGCGTTCTCCCTTGGCTCCCATTGTTCACCCATTTCTAATCACCAACCAAGCCTGCACTGTTCAATGATTAGGAAAACTGTGCTCATTCAGAGCCAATTCTCCGCCCTACCCCAGCAGCCTGCCATGTGGTCAGAGGGGCTGGGAGCAGGCCCCTCTGTGACCCCACACCCCGGGGTGGGGCCCCAAGCAATGTCTCCACCAGGGCAGCCCAGAGGCAGGCGAGCCGAGGGGCAGGAGTGGGGAGGGAGGGGGCAGGCAGGCCAGTACCAGCACGACGGCGGCAGCAGGTCCCACGAAGGCATAGAGCAGTCCCCCCTCCAGCGAGAGCCAGCAGCTGCGGAGGAGACTGGAGGTCAGTGCTGTTCCCAGGCAGAGATGTGTGGGAAGGTTAGGGGCTGGGACCGGGGAGGGAGCTGCCCTCCTACATGCAGGGCGCGTGGTGCACATGGTTCTCCGGAGCCTCCACTTACAGATGAGGAACGGGCCCAGCACTGGGGACAGGCCCGCTCAGAACCCCATCTCCCCTTCGGAGGCTCGCACTGGTTCCTGACCTGGCATCGGGGGGTCCCCTAGCCTCAGCTCCAGGCTATGCGCTCACACCCTGGCTGGCCTGGTGCACGCCAGTCCCCGCTCCGACTCCCTGGACCGCTGGCAGCCGTGGGGACACTTGGTGTGCTGCGGGGTCTCCACCGGGGTCCTGGCCCATCGCCCCCCCCCACGTGGCAGCGTTAGCCATGCCCCCACTCTGCTCCCTCTCCTGCATCTCCACAGGTCTCTGTTCCTCCCCAGCCCCATCCTGAGCACATGGTCTTCCCACTCTACCACAAGGCCCAGACTCCTTTAGGGTAGCCCCAAGTGCTTTGGTTGGCTCTCAAGGCCCCAGGACCTGGCCCAGGCATCAGAACTGCTGTCTGTGGAATGGACTCATGCCTGCCCTGCAGTGAGGGTACTGGGAGTTGGGGTGTCTGCTGTGTCTGACTGTTCTGGGGCCTCCTCTTCGCCACGCTTGCATACGGAGGGCGACCCCCACGATCTCCCAGTTGGATGGGTCCACACCATCTTACCCCACCTGTAGACTAGGCAGAGGCTGGCCAGCTGGGTGTAAGGGCTCACCTCTGGGCCCTGGGAGCAGTGCAGACACGGCCAGCCAGACAGGGGAGGCCTGGCCAGCCCACACACCTTGCGGGCTGCAGGAGGCATGGGATGCCATGTGGCCGTCCTGTACCCCACCTGCCCAACTCACTAGTTCATGGTGCTGTAGCCTTTGGCCTTGGTGAATCCCACGGAGATGGCCACCACCAGCGCAGGGAGCCCTGAAGAAGGACCGGAAGGAGGGACATCAACCCACCCCCAATCTACCCCTGACCCTGTCACCTCCACCTGTGGGGGGAGGGGGAAGAGGAGGCTGTGAGTTCTCCCCTCCCCACGCCCCCCGCACCGATGGACAAGGGGGGAAAGGCTGTGCCTTTGATGTCCCCGACAGACAGGGACACCGAGTGCCAGAGCTGGGCAGAGGACAAAGACGGGACAATGAGGAGAATGAGACGCCCGGTTATCAAGGAAATGAAAAGGCCAAATCCACATAAAACAGGCATTGTGTTCATTCAGCGTAAGCATGAACAGGACAGGCAGACACCACTGGACGGCTTGTCCAGTCAGAGTAGCCTGACTGCCACGCGTGCCCGGCAGGCCTAGGAAGGGGCAGGAAGCACCGGCAGGACGGGGACAAGGACGGGGGCGCCGGGGTGCTCAGCGTGCAGCCACCCTGCGCCCACCCTGCCACCCGCCCTCTCCCTGGCCACCCCCGCTCACCCCAGCCCAGGCAGAGGAAGCGCTTGCGGACGAGCCGGCTCCGGAGGCGGCCGGTGACAGCCATGTAGGACTGCCAGGCCTCGGTGAGCACCCAGCAGAAGGAGGACAGGAAGAAGAAGTGCAGGAAGGCCGCCACCAGCGTGCACACCACCTGGACAGCGGGCGTCCAGGAAGGCTGGGCAGGTGCCCTCTGGCCCTGGCCAGCCCCCCAGTGGGCTCCCGGCAGTGCCAGGAGCAGCCTAGGGCCAGGCCCTCAGCTGGCACCCACAAGTCCCTAGGGAGGTGGGGAACGAGACCCAAGCTCCCACAGTGGGGGTGCCAGGTGGATGTGGGGGCTGAAGCTGCCAGTCAGGGCATGTGAGATCTATGAACACACCCCTGCTTCTCCAGCTCCTACCAAGTGGCAGCCCAGGGCTCCCCTTAGAAGCCCCAGTTCAAGCCCCCCGTTGGGCAGGCAGTGATGTGGAAGCCGAGAGGGCATGTCCACACCAAGGCCTCACAAGCCCGTCACAGACAAGCTGACCGTGCTGCAAAAGGCGGTCCTGAGGCAGACCTCCTCCTCTCTCTCCCGCTGTGGTACCTCCAACCCCACCCATCAAGGCAGCCCCTTGAGGAAGCAGAGGCCCCTCCCCCAGGCTGGGCCAGCCAAGGACGGTCTAGGGACCACAGGATGCGGTACAGAGGTGCAAGCGGAGGGCCCCCACCAGGAACTGCCAGGTACCACGCCACCCAGGGTGGGAGCCCTGCGGGGGCGCCCTCCCCCACCTAAGATGAGGCGCGCTCGCGGTGGTCCGCGGTCTGCGGGCAGCCTACCTTGTTGCGGGTCTGGGTCTGCCCAATGAGGATGAGGGCGTTGGAGGAGATGATGGACAAGCAGAAGTTGATGAGGATGACAGAGCGCTCGGAGCGGATGTAC